ATTAATAATTATTATAAAATTAAATAAACAAATTATATTGGATTATTTTTTATTATTTATTTTTTTAATAATAATAGATGAATTGAATTATTTTTTAAAGAATTGAATAATAATAGATTGGATTTATTAATATTTATAATTTAAATTAATTTTTTAAATATTCAAAATACATTTCGTAACTCTAAGTATGTGGTTCAGCAATAAGGATTAATTCACACTTAAAAAAAATCAAGGGTTCGAATCTTACTTTATATATACAACCGCGTTAAATCTTGAGGTCAGCTATCCCACCCTTAACGTTTTGGATTATCATAAATACATAGATTTACTAGTTACCCACTTTTGATGAACAGAATTTTCTAGGCACGTGTTTCCTCTTGACCGAAAAGTTTGACTCGGTGGTTTCTCATTTCTTCTAGAACAATCTCCACACACTTTCCTGGCCTCTTCTCTTCATTCCCTCAAATGGTCCTATAAATAGCTCCATGTCCCAATTCCGAAACCCACATTCAGACCAAAAGACAACCTGGTATTACATCAGTAACACAAAGCGATCGATGTGTTTGGTGTTTGTGAGCGACGAGGAAGAAAGGGTCCTGGGGAGACAGGCAGCACCAGGGGCATGCCCTTATTGTGGAGGGATTGTTCAGGCCATGGATGTGGAGAAGCAGTGGAGGTTCTGCTTTCTACCCTTATGCTTTAGGACCAAACGTAGATACCACTGTACCATGTGCACAAGAACATTAGAAGTTGTGTGACAACTCATTATTCATAGTATGCAACTTCCAATGAGGAATTAAAGCTTTGTTTTTTATTACTTTTTTTCTTTTTTCTTTTGATAATTTTGTTTCTCCTTTTCTGTTTGTTTGTGTGTACATTCATTGATTGGGGAGTATGTAATGATTTTAGTTCAATCATAGCTTATACTTGTATGTACATATGATACTTGCAATATTGATGAAAAATACAGTGTGATAATTTGTTATCATGTGTTAAGCGTTTACAATATTAGGTACTAAATGTTGATTGGAGGTGGAGTATACCCAAGGAGTGAAATGCAAGATTTATTTATTTATAATATAAATTGGTATAATTTCTGTTAGAAAATAAATTTAATAAAGCACAAAAAGAAATGAAATATTTAAATTTATCAATAAAATTAATATCAACAACATAATGAATATTATAAAATTAAAAGTAAAACAATCGATAACAACTAATTAAATATAAAGAGTAAATTAAAATATTAAATAATAAGTATAGAATAGTCTGCATTGAAGTACGTAGAGTGTTATTTTTAGAGAAAAAATGTTTTCATTGCATCGATAATTTTGAGTCTTATAATGTGTTTCTTTCTTAAGATACATAAACTCGTTAAAACGTTTGAGTGCAGTTAAAGATTCTCGAATCAAAGAACATTGCTTTAAAAATATATTTTAGTAGAAGAAATAATTTTGAGGGAGAAATAGATTAACTTGTATTTTTTCGTATAATTTTTCTCACCTACTGATGTATATATATAGACACTATTAGATACTCTTTTCAACAAGAGTACGTGTACCAGTTTTAAAATTTGTTTTTGGAATAGTAAAATAAATGATGTACTTGTACTAACTAATTTGAAACAAAACGTGGACTTGGTCAGAGATGAAAAATCTCAACTGCTTTGATTTTAGAACGTTAGAGTATAAAAAAAAACAAATATTAATTAGATTAATATTTAATTTAAATTTTAAATTATAAAATAATTTCTCAACAATTTCTAATATTGATTATTAGATTGTGGATATTTTAAGACTCGTTAATGTTATTCAGCCAATGTATTTAATAAGTTAGTTAAATATTAATACTTAGAAATATATCTTTTAACATATTAGTTTTTTCAAATAGATGAAATGAAATAAACGACTATTTTATATGATAAACGACTATTTTATATGATTAAGATTTATAAAAAATATATCTAAATTTATAATTATACTTAGATATGAAATTTTGTCATAGATATTGTTCCATATATGTTTATATATATTTTGACACATATTTGGTTTTCTAAAAAATTAAATAATGTTACAAAAGAGAGAAAAGTAGAGAGAACAAACAAGACAATAAGAGATAAGAAAAGAATTTGACTGATATGTTATATTTCGGAGAGGAGTAACCTATTTATAAGTACATGTGATAACTGAACAATTACACAATAAAGGGAATAATACATAACGAAAATATAAATGGTAATGTTTGATAATAAATTTTGGCATCCACTAATTAAGCCACCAATTATTATTCATAACACTCTCCCTTGGATGTCCAATATTTAGAATGTGCCTCGTTAAAACCTTATTAGGGATAAAAATCTAGTGAAGGAAAAAAAGTACATCATTCATAACAAGATATATTTTTATAACACGTTATTAGCACGATAGTCTTTTATCTATTAGTGTTGCTCAAGGTTTTTCACAAAGACCCGATATTAATTTTGAAGAGACATTCACTTGTAGTGAATGCAAACACTTTTCGATATTTAATTAGTTTGGTTGTAAATGAAAAACTTAATTTACATCTAATGGATGTAGTTATAACATATTTATATGGCTCTCTTGATGCTGATATTTATATGAAACTTCCAGAAGGATTTAATTTGCCTGACGATGCAATTTCTAGATAAGATTATTCGATCAAATTGAATAAGTCTCTATATGAGCTAAAACAATAAGGTCGTATGTGGTATAATCGACTAAGTGAATACTTGTTACAAGAAGGATATAAAAATGATTCAATTTGTCCGTGTATATTTATAAAGGATTTGCCATAATTGTAGTTTATGTAGATGACATAAACATTATTGGAACTCTTGAAGAGCTTTCAAAAGCAATAGATTGCTTAAAGAAAGAATTTGAAATGAAGGATCTAGGAAGGATAAAGTTTTGTCTAGGATTGCAAGTTGAATACTTAGAAAATGGAATTCTTGTGCATCAAGAAGTTTATATAACAAAAGTGCTTAAAAGATTTTATATGGACAAATCACATCCATTATGCACTCCCATGGTTGTAAGATCTTTAGATGTTAACAAAGATCCATTTAGACCCCAAGAAAAGGATGAAGAAATACTTGGTCCTGAAGTACCATATTTTAGTGTTATAGGAGCTCTAATGTACCTTGCTAATTATACGCGACTTGATATAGCACTTGCTGTTAATTTGTGAGCAAGATATAGTTCTTCACCTACACGAAGACATTGGAATGGAGTTAAACAAATCCTTCATTATCTTAGAGGTACAATGAGTATGGGTTTATTATATTCAAATTTTCCCAAACCAGAACTAAATGGTTATGCAGATGCAAGTTATTTGTCAGATCCTCATAATGGTAAATCACAAACAGGATATTTGTTTACAAGTGATGGTACAGTCATTTCATGGCAATCTGTAAAACAAACCATATCATCCACTTCATCCAATCATGCTAAAGATTTAGCATTACATGAGACAAATCGTGAATGTGTTTGGCTAAGATTTGTGATTCAACACATGCGGGAAACTTGTGGTTTATCTTCTGGAAAAATGACATCGACAATTATATATAAAGATAATGTTGCATGTATTGCACAATTGATAGATGGATACATAAAGGGAGATAGAACAAAGCATATTCTATCAAAATTCTTTTTTACTCATGATCTTCAAAGGAATGGTGATATAAATGTTCAACAAGTCCGCTCAAGTGACAACATAGCAGATCTCTTTACAAAGTCACTTCCAAGAAAAGTTTTTGAACAATTGATACACAAGATTGGACTCCGTCGTCTTAAAGACTATATGCATGAGGGGGAGAAATAAATATTTATGAATGATGTACTCTTTTTTCTTTACTAGGTTTTTATCCCAAAGGATTTTTCCTAGTAAGGTTTTAACGAGGCACATTCTAAATATTGGACATCCAAGGGGGAGTGTTATGAATAATAATTAGTGGCTTAATTAGTAGATGTCAATATTCATTCTTCATAAAATTAAAAAAAAATGTAAATAAGCAATATGATAAAATCTAACTATAATTTGTATATTAAAAAAAAATTCATAATCCAATAACATCAAAACATAAGAAATACCCAAAATCCAGTAAATAAAATATGAAGAAAAAAAAATTATTTCTGAACACTCCCATCACCAATAAGGTGATCAATTTTTTCATTTGGATCAGCAAAGAAATCAGCAACATTTAAGTGAGTAACATCCATACAACCATAATCTGAATCATCGTCTTCATAAGCAAAATGTGTCTCTATCTTTTTCTTCTTATTAATTGATTCTTGGTAAAGTTCAACAAAATGTTTTGGTGTACGACAACTACGTGACCAGTGACCCTTGGCACCACAACGATAACATTTGTTTTCATCATGTTTGTTACCATGTCCATCCTTTTGCTTCTTATTTTTTTTCATTATTTTTTCACTTCTGGTGTGAAAAATTGTTTTTTACCTCATAACCATGACCACAATTGCCTTTACTACTACAACCACGACCACGACCACGATTATTTCCACGGCCGTGACCATAGCCACGACCACTAGTTTTTTTATCATGTGTTGCAACATTCACTTCTGGGAATGAAGTAGAGCCAGTTGGTTGAGCCTCATGATTTTTTTTATAAAAGCTCATTATTTTGCTTAGCCACAAGTAGGGGTGGGTATATGGACCGGTCCGGCCCGTTTAAGGCCCGGTCCATAAAACCCGCATTTTATACGAGCCGGATAAGTCTGGTCCGTAAAATAAATGAACTTATTTTTTAAGTCCATATCCGGCCCGCCAAAATTCGCGGATAACAGACCGGTCCGCGGGCCTAAATAATGGTTCAAAAAAATAAATTTTTAAAAAATAAAATACATAAAATTAGATGAAAAAATATTTTTTTTATTTATAAGCTAAATTTTATCATACTAAAATTTATCAATAGTTAAAAAGGTTAAAAATACTAAATATTAAAATAAAAATAAATACAAATACTTAAATAATAGTATCAAACTTTCAATAATATAAGCATCAAAATGTCATAAAAATAATTTAAATGACAAATAAATACCACCTAAACATAATTTTAATGTCATAATAATTTAAAAATTAAATACACAACTTAATATTCAAATCGTAATATTTAAAAATATTAATTAGTAAAGTCCGCGAACTAGCCCGCGAGTCTGCAGATTAAATTTGCCAAGTCCGCAAACTTTACGGGCCGGACTCAAAAATTAAATATAGTCATACGAATTTGAAAAAAACAGGTTCGTTATCTGCGAAATTCGCAGGCTTACAGACCGGTCTGCGGACCCGGGTCCATCTACCCACCCCTAGCCACAAGGCGACAGGAAATTAATTCAACATATTTCTTAAACCCATTTTCTCGATATTGCTGCTGTAGGAGCACATTAGATGCATGAAAAGTGGATAATGTTTTTTCTAACATATCTTCGTCAGTAATTTTTTCTCCACACAATTTCAATTTGGAAGTAATTCTAAATATTGCAGAATTATATTCACTTACAGATTTAAAATCTTGTAACCGTAAATGCATCCAATCATAACGAGCTTTTGGGAGAATCACAGTTTTTTGGTGGTCATATCTTTCTTTTAAATGGTTCCAAAGAACAAGTGGGTATATTATGTAATTGTTCAGTTACTATATATACTTATAAATAGGTTAGTCCTCTCCCAAAGATAGACTAGTCAACTTCTTTTCTCTATCTCATATTGTCTTCTTGGTTCTCTCTATTTTACTTTCTTTTATAAATAGTTGCCTTCTTTAATAGAGTCTGTAAGACCCATTGCATCTAAATGTATTTCAGCATCTAATATCCAAGATAAATAATTCTTTCCCGTAATGTCAAGAGCACCAAATTCGAGTTTTGCAATATTTGACATGTTCAATACTATCATAAAAGAGAGACAAAATTAGGATAAAAAAAATGAATCATAAATAGCCAAAAAATTAAA